CCATCCATCGAATGTTCTGCAGTTCTATTACAGGTGCTATGCTCAAAAAATACCCTGACATGTTTTCTTACTATGAACTTGTAAATTATGCAACCTTTCACAGTTCAAATGTTAACAAAAAATTAGCACCTCTTTTGATTTATAGAGCTATCAGTCAATGTAGCATTTATTGTATCATTTGTACTTTCTAACTTTACAACTTTACATATGTTATATTTTGTTCTGAATTGTTAATGATGATAACATGAATTGGTTGTTTACTTCTAATATTTGTAAGCTGGCATACTTAATTTGTAAAGTTTGGAAGAAGAGGCAGACTTGTTTGTTAAAACGCATCTGTTTGTGTTTCTAAATGTCTGGCAATGGGCTTATTGAGGAGTGTGGTGCATTAGTCCAAGAATGGGCTGGGTATATTTGTATGCAAGACACAACAAGAAAATAAATGGAATTCAGTTGTTAATTAATATGGCAACAGTCCAAACTTTTGATAATTCAGAAACTCTTGTAGCTAGAATAACCTCTTATAGCAGTAAACACAGTGGCAGATGTGAACAGTGTGAGTTTTGAGTGACTGCTTCCTGGAGTCACGTCTGCTCCTCGGAGGTGGAGCTGGTGCTTGAAGCTCTGCTGTTTAATCCTGCTCAAAGCTCCTCTTCGCTGTGAGGGGCTGCTGGTTGGTGTCCCCCCAGAGGAAGACATCGGGAAGATGGACATGTCCCTATGTACTGTTTTAGCATCAGTCCCTAGATATTTTGTAACATCATGAACAAACCAAGGATGATCAGATTATTTGGTTAATCAATTACTGTGATTATACAAAAGAAAATTAAGGCATTTCAATTCCCTTTACAAGTTAAATGTAAATTAGACCTAACTGTAAAGTGAATTTTATCTGGCTGTTTATGTCGCATTAACATTACATTATCATCCAGAAAGTTTGATATCATAAAGCTGGTCACAACAGAATGAAAGATATATGGATTTCATTGTTGTTTGGTTAAGGTCAGGGTGAAAAAATGCATAGCACACTCGGTTGGCCGATGTCCAAATACTATTTTATTAACAAAATAACGTTTCGGCTAAAAAAAGCCTTCATCAGATTTTTTTTGTCTTGGACCACAGCACACAAAATGGTTGCCAGCCCAGGTGCCCATATACCCACTCAATGAATGGGAGGTCCCAAAGTGAAAGTGTTTGGTTAAGGTGCCAATAACCAGGAACTTGTGACATTGCACGATTCCCCTGACACCTGTGGCATATAACATTTAGCATTTATTTTGCACTTAAAAGAAGAACCTTTTAGAAGTGCAACTAACCTTCACTTTTTTTATCTGTTTGCAAATTACAGACTTTATTGTAATAGTTGTACTTTCATGCAACTTTGTCAAGAGTTTATTTGGGACTTAGTTTTATATTTTTGCTCTTTATTATAATACTGTGATATGTGAGCTACTGTGATGTGTGAGTGTCTAAATAATTTCCCTTGTGCATCAATAACATTTGTATAAGTCTAAGTAAGTCTGTGAGTAGTGAGTGTGATAGAGGAGGACTGTACAAATTGAAATTGGGGCTTATTTTTTATCTTGTATCCACAAGGACTTCAAACGTAAACAGATGACAAGACTTTCTATAAAAGCCTGTTTGCGTATGCAGAGACTGTGTGTCTGCTTGTCCTTGAAGATGGTGAAATCAGATATAAATTAAGTAGATTTTCAAAGAACAGGATGTATCGTTTTTTTATTAAAGAGTGCTTTTCTTTTGATTCCTCAGAAAATGCTTAAAAAAGAATATAGCGTTCTTTCTCAGATGCACGACATGAGTCAGAGGACAAGAGCAATTTTACAATCAAACCTTGTAGAGATTATCCCATTTCTAAAGAATTACATGCCCCATCATTTATAGTGTCCTGTGATGTCTTGGTATTTTCAGGTAATGTTAGTGAATCAGAAATGCACATCACTTTCTTGAAACGGGTGGATTGGAGGAGATGGAGCAGCAAGAACACCACTGAGAAAACTCCTGTACATCATCTTAATTGCAAATTGTGAATTTTATTAGGGCATCAACAGTGTTTTGCAATTAAAACTTAAATTCACAATTTGCAAGTAAGCCGGTATGTGTGATTTTTCTGTTAAAAATCTGGCTTGTAACAACATAAGGAGTTGGACTGATTGAGTTGGATTTCTTAATTATGTGCTATGAAACTTAATATGACACCATTTTCTTTGTTTGAGCAATAAAGACACTTGTATTTGAATAAATTCAAGGTATACATATTAAGTTTAAATTAAATGACATACTGTGGAACATTCCAGGCACCCCCATGAAAAAAGTTACATAGTGCACCTTTAAAGGTCCTATACTGTGCAAAATTGACTCTTGTGAAGTTTAAGCCACATTATAATGTTGTTATCTTCTCTAAAACGTTCCTGGCATTGTGTTTTGTTTCATTCACATTTGTTGTTTATAGCGTTTGTCCAGAGATTGTAGAGATGTGTAGCTTTAGAGTGAAGGTGTATGGAGTTTAAAAAGGAGCACTTCTTGTATTGCCTCAGTTTTTTCAGTTTAGTACAGGTTTGTGTATTAAACACGTATGAATGAAACAAAACACAGCACCAGATATGTTTGTGATGAGGAGACAACATTATAACAGACCATAAAATACTGTAATATGGGCCCTTTAAGAAAAGTCCACAAAGCTTCAGGTGAGATTGTGTTCATAGCCTGAAGCTGTTTGCACAGACCGGATCTTTACAAGGGGCAATAGAATCACTTCCCTTTAGTGTTGAGCTAAACTTGCAGCCACATTGAAGAGTTGTGTGTTTTACAAAGCCAGCAAAGGTGAAGCCCCGGTCACTGTGGGTTACTGAGCTTAGCAACTGAACATAAAGGAAATACACAGCCTCACCTAGCTCACCAATGTTACATAATGGGTTAATGGAGGCGAGAACAAAGAAAACAATAGTTCCTTTTGAAAGCACACAGGCGCCTGTCGGAACTAACCTTGTGACAGATATTGTAGTACCGTATGTTTTTTATACGTTTCTATTGGCTCAGTTTATCTTGACTGGACAATGATGCAATGTCCAGCTACACTTTTAGTATAGAGCATTTTTCACATTTATATCCCATATTACACAAAATTGACTCTTGTGGGCTTTAAGCATAGCCGGAGTTGTGTTTTGTTTCATCCACACATTTTTGAGTAATTCTGCATTATTAGGCTGTCTATATCCCCAAAGCTGAAAATGTTCTCTTCCACCTTGTGATGTCCTGCAGTGGTGACATTATAAAATAGAATAGAAAATAGAGTAATATGGGCCCTTTACATGTGCTATGCAACTTTTCTGGTGTGGAGATGTTGCTTTGGCAACAATGTTTCACAGTAATGCATTAAGAATATCTTCGTGGAGACAAGCTGGTGATGGCAAAAGGCCAGATGTTTGACGAGGCAACTCACAGTAAATGTGTGTGAGAATGTGAGTTTGGAAATGTGTGCTTGAGCAAATATACATAATTGCATCTATATGTTGATAACTGCTGATTAGGGGGTGTAACGATATCCAAGTCTCACGATATGAGTTCACGGTATGAACCTCGCGGTAAGATATTTATTGCGAAAGCTCACGATTAGGGATGTAACAATATCCAAATTTCTCTGTACGATATATTCACGATATACATCTCACGATATGATATTTATTTGTGATATTTTGTGGAGGCTAATATGCAATTTTTTCCTCTTAAAATGCCTTGACAAGATTTAAAAGGGCTTAGAACTGGGCTTAGAACTGTTATCTCTTCTTGTAGTCTGCACTGAAATGGAGCAAAGAATCATGGTCTATGTAGTTCCCTCTGTCTTTTTTTAACTATTGCTGCACCATAACTCTTCATTTAAGCAAAGAGACTTGTAATTCGATATATTATGATGGTCCACGAGAACTTTGAAGATACGATATCACAATATTTCGGTTATTGATACACCCCTACTGTTGATAGAACCAAATGATGGTTTAATTCCATAGTGTGGATCTTTCAAAGCAGTAACATTTCCATTGAGATAAGCAGAAAAATTATATAGTACACCTTTAATGGATCAACTTGAAAGGAAAACTGAGCTGTTGAGTTTTTTAATGTTCAACTTTATTCTCACTGTATATTGCATTGCTTAGCCATGAACCATATTTTTCCTTTGTGCAAATTATTATTTAAACGTGGCCCTATATTATTCCATAAATTGCACCTTACATGTGATTTTTTTTTTCTCACAAATGTTTTTATTAAGATTTTACATATTGAAGCATACAAAACATAACAAAACAATCAGTTCACTCAATTAGAATTATGGTTTTATGTCAAAATCCTTTATAATGCGCAAAAATGGCAACCAAATATCTTTGAAGTTCTCAAGTTTTCCTTGTGTAGCTCAACTTCTCCAGTGTCAAATTGCTGGACATTAATTAAATCCACTGGTTTACTTTGAGCCTTCCCATTTCCTTCCAATTGAGAGCAATAGCACGTTTGGCCTGCAATAAACTAAAAATTACAAGCTTCTTTCTATTTAAATGAACACTCAGGCTGTTGGGGAAGATGTGCAGAGTTTACAATCAAATAGCATCTCACATTCAGTTAAATCTAAAATTACAGTAGTGACCTCTTTCCAAAACAATTTGAGTTTTTCACACTGCCACATAAAATAAAAAAAAGGGTCCCCTTTTTCCTGCCACACTTTACACAGTCATCAGGAATATTTGGATTAAAATGGTGAAGTTTTACAGGTGTAATATAAGTCCTAAACAGCCATTTGTACTGCCTTATACATGAATTATTTATGTATTGGTGTGTCTGATCACATCAACCGGAAAGTGCAAATCATTCTCCACTGAAGTCAAAACTACTTTCACTTGACCAATACTACTTTATTATTCTTGTATTAATATCAATCTGAAATAATTGTACTCTGCTTGTATTGCACTGAGCCTCTCCCTTGTGTCTTACAGAGTCCACGTATCGGCATCAGGCCAACATTGACGATGAGGTGGTTACTATGGAGATCCTGGACACAGCAGGACAGGTGAGCCAAATTGCACCTCTCTCTGTATGATTACTTCAAACACGCCCCACCTCTGTACTTTAAAACTATTTAGATCAACTGTCTCTCACCTCCACAGTGCCACAGTCAGTACAGGATGATGACTATAGTTAGGGTTATTATGACCTGTACAGATCTATATACTTGGGTAATATAAACTTCAAATATAACACAGAAGAAATGCATGACTTTATGGGTCTCTCACAGTGTTGGGAGTAACGCGTTATAATAGTAAAGAATTACTGTAATGCATTGCTTTTTGCTGTAACGCAATAATGTAAGGCATTACAGGGAAAAAAATTTTAATATTTTACTTGGTACAAATTTCAGTAACACACATTACAATGCATTTTTAACCTGGATTGAAGTGGTGGGTTTTTCGTTTTTCATCATACAAATTAGTTAAAATCATCGCGATATCAGCAGTGGTGAAACGCTATTGTTACGGTTCCGAATGTTGGAGTTGTGCCCGCGTAGGGAGGGTGACTGCAGGCGAAAGGAGCGGAGCAGAACTCCACGCTCCACGGGGCTAATCGCCCGATTGCGCTTTACAGTCAACCTGCTCTTGGGGTTCTTTGAGGGGCGGCCCCAGATTCCAGGTCCTAGACCAAGATTAGCCCTGGTTTGGTCCTGGTTTAGACCTGGTTTAGACCTGGTTTAGCCCTGGTTTAGAAATGGTTTAGTCCTGGTTCAGTAATGGTTCAGCTCTGTTTAGTTTTGATTACACCTGATTTAGTCCTGGTTCAGTTCTAATTTAGACCTGGTTCAGTCCTGGTTCAGCTCTGGTTTAGTCCTAATTTAGCTCTGGTTTTATTCCTGGTTTAAACCTGGTTTAGTCCTGGTTCAGTCCTGGTTCAGCTCTGGTTTAGTCCCGATTAGACCTGGTTTAGTCCTGGTTCAGTCCTGGTTCAGCTCTAGTTTAGTCCTGATTAGACCTGGTTTAGTCCTGGTTCAGTTCTAATTTAGACCTGGTTCAGTCCTGGTTCAGCTCTGGTTTAGTCCTAATTTAGCTCTGGTTTAGTCCTGGTTTTAACCTGGTTTAGTCCTGGTTCAGTCCATATATGGCGCAAAAGTTCGGCATCTTCGTTTGCTGATTGTTATTTGACGATCAGCGATAGTTATTTTGGTGAGAGTAACTTAATGCAGTAGTAGTGTAATGCCTTACATTTTAAATGCAGTAATATTGTTTTGTAACAAATGACTTTAAAATGACAGTAACAAGAAATAAATAATGCATTACAGTTTTGATGTAACTTGCCCAACAGTGGTAACTAAAATCAGGATTAACATATTTTAAGATGAGTCAAAGCCAGGTTAAAACTGCCTGAAGCTGAAGTAATAAACCAGATACTCACCTTACTCCAGAAGTTGCTGTCGTGCGGCGCCATTATGATTCAGGTTGTATTATTTTTGTACGGGCCTGCCGATCTTGACAGTAAATAGGTTCAATAAGGACCATAAAGACTGGCTGGGTCTCGAGTACAGTTAATGGCGATCCTATGAAATAAACAAATAGACTGTAAAATGATGAACCAAATTAAAAACTGATACATCCAAGGCACAACTATACTGCAACTGCAACTGCACACCTCCTACGTACCAATAGAAGAGACCCATATCTGCCACATAAGTACCCGCACCCCAGTTTGAAAACCCCTTCTTGGTTCTCACGTAAGTTGCACTGGCTGATTGTATTTCTCTGGGCACTCTTCAGCCCTCTAAGTTTTCCCTCTAATGGTAAATTGTAGCCAGTGTTACTCCGGTGTTTTCAAACAGGATGCCCTTGTTCTTAATGGGCCTCTAATGTCTGCCTGTTATGTCCAAGTATTGTGCCAACTGTGCTGATTTCCAGTTACACAATCATTAGACGTGCCCTTGTTCTCTTGTCTCTGGAGGACATTCAAATAGTGCTGTCTTGTTAAAACTTCATGAAGTTTTTTGCAGTACACTCACTTTCTCAGGTTTGACAGTTTAGCTGTGGTTGATATCCAGATTTTTTGACAGCAAAACTGCCTCTCATAACAATATAGTTCCACATTTTACCTTTTTTGTCTCGTTCTCTATCCCCATGACAAATATCAGTGCTTTATCTACCTGGATGAGACATGGTTTTGTTTAGTTTTTTAATCAGTAACATTGTATTGATTATAGTTTTTGACCATGCAGCATTATTAAAATTTGAATTAGCTAGAGTTTTGGAGGTGACTGGACATTTTCTCTCCTTCTTCTCACTTATGAATGTTCAGTTCACTAGTATTTATTTGTATTCATTTCATTTTTTGCATTTTTTTTTGTTTTGTTTTTTTGTTTTGCACAAGAGCTCTTGTCTGTGCTATTCCATATCTACTTTTAATCAGTTAAAGCTATTTTCTGATCCAATTCTGATCTGTTTTAACGTTGTTTCCTCATCACAAACATACCTGGAGTTGCGTTTTGTTTCATTCATACATGTTTAACACACAAACCCTGCATATTTAGGCAGAGTTCTTGTCTGAAATGGAAAATTCTCTTACACCTTGTGATGTCATGAAGTAATGCAGTGCAAGTGCTCCACTGTGTTTTTAAACTCCATACACCTTCACTAGAATCATTTGGATAATTTCAGCCCTGGAATTTCCCTGAACAGCTTCATGACATCACAAGAATTAATAGAGCATTTTGAGCTTTGGAGATATAGCCAAACTAATAATAAAGAATTACTGAAACCTTTGTGAATGAAGCAAAACACAACTCCAGGTATGTTTTTGATTAAGTAAAAGCTCACAAGAGTCAATTTAGCATAACATGAGACCTTTAAATGATGCACAAGGTGTGTCTTTAGTCAATTTCATGCCTCCAACCTTAATGTTATTTATGTAGTGACATTATCAAACTCGATAAATCTTGATCTAGTTACATAATTGCCTTATTTGTCCTGTAAATATATTCCAGGAGGACATCCAGCAGAAGGAGGGTCACATGCGCTGGGGGGACGGCTTCATTCTGGTCTATGACATCACAGACCGGGGCAGCTTCGAGGAGGTGGCCCCCATTCGAACGCTTTTAGAGGAAGTCAAAAAACCCAAGAATGTCCCGCTGGTTTTAGTGGCCAACAAGTCTGACCTGGACCACATACGGCAGGTCAGCACGGAGGAGGGCGAGCGGCTGGCCTCGGAGATGGCATGTGCATTTTACGAGTGCTCGGCGTGCGCAGACGTAGGAGGCGCTGTGGCGGAGGCATTTCACGAGCTCTGCAGAGAAGTGAGGAGACGTAAAGCTGTGCAGGGGAAGGCACGGAGACGCAGCTCAACCACTCACGTCAAACAGGCCATAAACAAGATGCTCACCAAGATCAGCAGCTAGGACTGGGACTGCACACAAGAGACACTGCAGGGTTCCCACTAAACTAATATAAGACATGTACTTCAAATGTAGGTTTATTATTGTACGTGGGTGATATGACATACACAATCATATTAGGATTTTATGCTTCTTTACAATATAGCTCAGCAGTGACCGCCCACTTACAGGTTCTGGAAGTAAATTACCATTTACTTTTCCATATTACAAGTTTGAAAGCATGTGGTAACTAATAACAAAACCTACAACTACATTTAAAGTCTGTTTGTGAAACTTTCTAAACCAGTAATTTATTGAAACAGCTCTTTTCAACAACCATGTAAAGGACGAAAGTAGGTAGCTGTCCCAGGTAGCTATGGTGCCAGAAATAACTTGAACACTACTAAAGCATGAATGAAAAAGAGTGGACCAAAATATATATTTTAGCTAATGCACCAGTTATGTGTGTTAAAGGTTTAAATTAATGCATTATTAGATTATTTAAAAGAAAAATATAAAGCTCCAGGGCCTATTAAGTGTATTAATTAAGGATGGTCCATGTGTGATCTGATACAATATGGCTTATAATTAATTATGGGGCTTTAATTAAAAATTTACTTTACATTAATTTCCTAGAAGAAGAAGAATAGAACAAAGTCAAGAACAAAGACCAAAAAATAAAAAATACAATTATTCAGATCGTGCAGCACTAAAACATTTTATTAAAAAAGGGTAAGGGTAAAAGATCTTGACAAAGTAATTGTGATGTCAAATGAATATTGCCTTACTGTCAAGTTTAATAATGGAAACCCTACATTATTTCTGTTTTCAGACTGAATACAGGCTCATGTCTTGTGGCCCTCAAACATAATGTACTGGATTTGATTAGCCTGTGCTATTATGAGTGCTTCTTTCTTACTCTGTTGATAGCTGTTCCCTCACATGAACCCAGGGTGAACACAGAGTGGACTGAACCTCACCGTAAACATGTTTTTATAAACTGAACTTCAGATGAGGACAGTGAACCTGACTCAAGAAGAAAAGACTTGACTCTGAGTTATTGTTTATTTAAGGGTAACTGAAGAAGCCTAACAATAAGCCAAAGTATTTCAAGTATCAGATATAATTAAAGGGGCACTATGTAATTTTGCTGGTGGAGCTTCAACCACCTGCTCATCTCATCTATCTGTAGGTGACCACCAAAAAGGAAGAGAAATAAAGCTACTTAGTGCACCTTTAAGTAGCTGTTTTTAAAATCTTTTTGGAAATTTAAATCATGTTATAATGCTGGGGCAACTGTGTGCCAGAGCAATCATCTTTTAACAGTTTGCATATGACATCTTGCCACTGTGTTTTTGAGCAAAACACTTCACCCACCTCGCTAAAGCACTTTGAGAATTAGTATTTTCTATTAATATGATAAACTTACCAAAACATACAAGAAATAGTCATTTATTTTACTGGCAAATGTTTTATTAATTTTATGTATACAAAAAATATGTACAGCTATTTTTCTTAGTGATAGTGTGTACATTATACAAAAAGTGAAAGGAAGTAAATGCCTTATTTTTTCATTCAAATTGACAAAATATTAGATTTATTTTTTTTCCTTTTTAAATAATATGTTAAGATTTTAGTGATAATGCCACTGAAACAATTTACTAACCTCTAGTAGATTAAGCATCACACATATAACAATACAGTTATATTTACTGTGTCATTAATGTGGCTGAAGCTGGATTTGTGGGAACCCTGTTTTGTAAATATCTCACCAAACGTCGGACTGTTTTTTTTTTTTTTTCATGAACATAAGAAGAGGACGAGGACTTTTCAGTGAGAGCTTGTAAATTCAAACAACAACGGGAAATCGCATCAGGACTGTCTTTGCTAACCTCAAAAGCTTTGGAGGATTTGGAGAAAGCATGAGAACTGTCTTCATGCAAAACAATGAACAAAACACTGCAGTGACTTCCTGTGGTGTGTCTATGGAAGTCACAGGTGTATAATTATTCTCAGCAGATTATACAGATGCAAAAGAGACTCTTATTAGCGAACAGTATCTCCTCAAGTCTTAGACAAAGCTATCTCTGTCAGTGCCTGTCTCAACATTAGACTATTGTGAAGTACTTGGACTTGGAATGGCTTTATGACCTTGCTAGATCCTGCTAAACCCTTTTGTTTCATTTTCTTGCAAAACATAATTAAGCATGAAACTATTCAAATGCATTTCATTTTGGATTATACTGACCACATATATTCTTACTTTCTCATTAGTTGTATGTTTTTCAGATTGTGTTTTTATTCTGCCCAGTGTGGTACATTTCCAGAGATTTCTTCTACCCTTTATTAGGTCCCCAAGGGGTAATTGTTTTGCAGTTCATGACAATGGACAAGGACATAAGAATAAAAACAACAGTGTAAAAAAGCTAATTTAAAAGTGCATTTCACAACTTTTCTGGTGGAGGGTCCGCTACCTGCTTGTTTCTATAGAGATGTTATTGCTTTTTGGTATGACATTAAACATATTCATTAATTTATTCATTATGGGTGTTTCCATTTCTTAAAAATATTTCATTTATCCCTCGTGATAAATACTGTAGGTGTAATCTATACTGTGGAACAGCAATAACATCTACATGGAGATAAGCAAGTAGCAGACCCTCCACCAGAAAAGTGCAAGTAAGTAAGTAAGTAAAAAGTTAAATAAGTGTGATGGGATTTCATGTCCATAAGGTCATTCAGATGTGCGCCAACTATTTTTGCACACTCTTTGAGAATGCCATTAAGATGATTTCAATGTTTTAAGAGTTGTCCTTAAATCTACCTTTTACCCACCTGAATGTATTCTAAATCATGTAATGGACAATAATGCTGCTTCACAAACTGCTTTGGAGTTAAATTGCATTAATATAGATTTACTACCATTTACTTTACTTAGTCAGCCAAGGTCTCCATTACAACTATGATTTTGAGCTTGTGGAATGAAGACGTCCTTTGCAAAAACAGATTAGGTGCCATTAAAAAAGAAAAAAAAACAAAAAAACAAACAGTTATTGAATGATTTGTATAGTGCCTAACTATTTTACTTTAATAACAGTAGTAAGTCATTCCTCTTTGGCCACTCATACTTAATTAAAGGGAAGTTTAGGATAACAAAAGCTACAAACCTACAAACTGCTGAGTTTGTTTTTGCAAATGAATTCTTCTGATCCTGAGCAGATAAGAAGCTGTTATGACATATGTTATGGATTATAAAAACCGTCATTCCCTGGAAGGTATAGCAGTCTCAAATCAGTGAACAAATTTAAAATAACATTCATTTTTATTTATTTTGTTCCATTAAAAGGGTCATTTATAATGCCATAATGTTGGTCATGAGGAAATTCCTCTTATTTATTCAGTTACGTTTTCATTTGAGTTGAATACAGTGATTTAAGATTCCTTTCACTTGTGGTGAAGGTTTGAGTCGGTGTGTTTTTGTGCCTCTCGTCTGAACCAAAGCACAATCTGTGTCCAGTATCTGCAGTGGAATGTGTCCATAAGCCCACAACAGCTTTCAGTGCACCGCTCACTCTGCTGTACCTTTATTAACCTCCATGTTCTTTCTGGCCTCCAGCCTTAAGCACTGCTGCACGTTAGCCCTGCTCTACACCACAGTTGGATTATATTGGTAAATTGTTTTATGTTTTATGGATGTGAAGTGTTTCTGATCAAACCAGCCATGCATTTGTAAATAAAATAAGACCTATATCCAACTAGACATCCCTGTTGTGGTTTTTCAAATGCTTGCACCCCATTTTTTTTTTTTTTTCAATCAATAGTAGCCCTGCAAGAACATACTATTTTACCCGAGGTTTCCACCTGCTTGTTTCCAAGGAGATAGTTTTGCTTTGCCTGGAATGTTCCACATTATGGCATTAAACTTCTCTCTATTTACAGGTGTATTCTGTGAGCGGGGGTTTTTTCTCCATAGATTTGATCTGTAATTTGGCCTCAGCATCATGGAGGTAGATGAGTGGAGGTTATAGCTTTATCTGCAATGTTAGACACTTAGGCATTAAACTTTGTCATCAACAAGGTTTAAGAAAGGGCATCTGAAAGGTGTCTTTTTGATCAAATGTTTACTGTAAGCAAATAATATAAAAGATTTTGTGATCATTGTTTCTGGTTTCTCTTTAAAATCCAGAGTATGCTGAGAGTATTACAAAGAAACCTTTAATTTAAATCCACGTTGTTTCTAATTATAGATTTCCTGTTTCAAACCCACTCCTTTAGTTGGGCTGGAGACATGAGGAGTGGCCCTTGTATCTGAGGATAATTACTGGAGGCTTCGCTTCAGTGCTATAATAAGCAGAACCCACTGTGCTCCTCCTCGACCTGTGATAGAGAGAGGAGAGGACCGCTGTGTCAGTTATAGTAATTTGTTTTCATATGTGGGGCTGCAAGAACACAGACCAATGCCTAATGTCCAGTGAACATCAGTTTCCTTTTGTGTACATTGCTGATGGATAAGTGAGAGTCTATTGATAGAACCAACAAACTCGTATGAACTGTTCAAAATAGTCCAGTAGTTTTTATGTTCCATATTAAGGTTAAGGTACCCTTTAAGGTGCATTTTATTGAGCTAGTGAAGTAGCTCTCCACCTCCTTCCAAGTAGCTCTCAAAGGGAGTTAAGAATTATTAACTAAAATTTGACTAATTACTATTGTTATTAACTGTATGTATCATGATGATGCCTAACTTTGTGCACTAATAACTGGATAATCGTTAATGTAATAGGCATCTAAATGTGCTCTTATACAATTTCTTGTGACCGCTTAAATGAGTAGCTCTGTGGCATTTTTGTTTTGTAAAGGAAGCTCACCGGAGGAAAAAGGTTGGAGACCCCTGCCGTAGGGTAATATGCCCTCTGCATTTGACCCATTCTTCACAGCTGCTGGGACACCTCATCAGGACCAGTGGTCCGCTAGTACCTTTCCCCATCTGTCCTTTAGCATTGTTACTGCTTCACTCATCAGTGCTACAGCAGGTAGCGTCCGTGTGTGTGTGCTGGGACATTTGTGAGTAAAGATTTGGCTAGTGCAGTGTTCAGTTGTTTTCCATATACATACATTACATACAATATACAATATACAGCATAATTTTATTTGTGGGTTGAGAAATATCATGAATAGTTAAATTACACAACATAAAATACTTTTTATCTCCTTTTTTCTCTGAGTTCAGTTTAGCATGATTGACAGGTACATTTTTTTTTTTTATCAGTTTTTAGTTTTTTATGTTTTTCTAATTACTTGGTTAGGTGAGATTTTTTTTTTTTTCTTCTTCTTCTCGTGTCATGAAGCAATCCGCTGCCCTTTTTTTTATTTAATTTTTTTTTTATTAAAGACATCAGAATATAACATTTAACAAAATACAATAATCAACATAAAAACTAAATACAAAAACACCACGACAAATACAAAACAACAAAAAATAGGTTAGGTGAGATCTTAAATGTTGTGAATTTTTATCAGTTTTACATCAGTTAATGAAATGACTGAGAAGAAAAGCACAAAAATAGAAGAAGCAGCTCTGAGTTCTGCAGCATCCCGCAGTGTCCAGGGGGATCATAACACACACAAGACTTCTAAGACCACGCAAATGTTTTTGTTGGTGATGAAATTGTTAATTCCCTCAAAGTGTTTCTGCTGGAAGGTCTTCTGTCACTTTTACTTCCACATATGGTGTGAAAAACCTATATCACCTCAAATGCCCATAGATAGCTTCTTGCACAGTCTCCATGGATACAGGAAAAACAAACAATTAATTTCACACAATCCACCAGTCCCTTGTGTTCATAAGATCAAAGTATTAATTTATCAAAGTAACATTTTATTAGTCTGCTTATAACTATTGTGTAATTTTGTTTTGGCCCATTTTAACCTTATGGCTGCTAGTCAACAATTATGAAATTCCCTCTACGAATGTCATATCTGCTACCCACGTCCAAACAGGAAGTACAATTATAAACATGGCAGAGGTCATAACCCTGTGTGAAGCGTGTGTTTGGAGGATGACATAGATTCAGGTCACTCCTCTCAGCTCCTCTCTGCCTCTCTCCTTCAGTGGATGTGATGTCTCTTGACAGTTGACCTCTCAGTGAATACATCATGTTTCAAACAGGACCAGGTGCTACTGACTCGGTGACCTCCACACACACAGGGGTATGTGTGTTTTCAAAAAATGTAAGCACTTATTTAATGTTTGGGTGACTTCACATTTCCACCACTGCAGTGTAGTGAATGCTGAAAAAGATTTTAAAAAATGTTTTATTTTAGTTTTGTTAAAGTATGCAATTACCTCCTCAACCAATTATTTAACCAATTGTTAGTCTTTTAGTCATTT